GAAACACAACAAACAAATTGAGCAGCAATGTTAAGATGGTAAGCAGGAAATTCCTCAGTCCTCTAATGATACAATGACAATGCATATTAATTCATCTGAAATTAAACTCACGATGCTGCCACGGCCCATTTTAAGTACCACTTCTGTTTAATCTTAGCCTATATATAAAATGATAAAGGTACTACTGGGATTGTGCTATATACACTTACTTTGTGTCTAACGTTCTTTCTTATTGACTCCATCCACTCCAGGAGATCTTTAACTTTGTCTTCTGGTGAGTCTCGCCTGATGTTGTTCTTCACTACATCTTTATCTGTTTCTGTTAGTTCTTTCTGATATAGCAAAAAAGAGGAACATAATTAGGAGACTATGGTATTGCTTTGCATGTACACATATTGTACAAAAATGCAGTGAAATTCAACTAGTACTCAGTTCTATGCATTATGCCTTACGGAAGGAGAAAATGGAAAATAAACTTTTGTTAGAATCTCTTCATCATTCTTTGTCACATAATTAACTTCAATGCTCCTTGAGGAGTCACGCAAATGACTCCAAAGGTCCTTCATGTCTTCATCTTCTTTGTAATTGGCATGAAAGTCAACTGTTTATAGAATAGCTCAGCTGGTGCAATGAATAATGTGAAACTAACCATAACTGTCAATTGATTTCCCAGTATAATCAGCAATCTTCTTCAGTACATGATATGCTCTGTATATTGTATATATATGAGAGTATCAGTTTATGTGCATATGTCTTAATTTGTAGGGAATAATTTGTCATAAAAATTGGGAGTACCCCTTGCCCATATTGGGCTGAGTCTACACCTGAAGCATGCTGTTTAGCTCACTTAGCATAACCCTGGTCTACACATACCTGAACATTGCTCTTTCTGACTCAGTTTTGTCCATGCCCCAATCTTGATCAACTATTATCTGCATAATACATGTTTCAATCATTCATTGTAGCTTATTAGCTAACCCAAAACTCTTTCATAGTTGACATTACATCTGCTACTGATAAATCCTGTGCAATGCCCTGAGCCAGCGTTTTGCTGTTGGCATTTGTTTCTTCAATCATTACTTCTAGTAATTCAATAGCTGAAGCTTTGACGCTCATTAGTTCAACATCCTATGATAAACTATAGAGTGAGTTTTATAACACTCTTAGTATCATACTTCTTGTGGTAAACTGTTTGCATGTATCTCTTCACAACGAAGTATAATGTTAATCGAGTCGACTATTTGACCCTTGAAAGCAACTTCTTGATTTGTATAGTTGCCAGCACAAACTTCAATGAGTGCCTGTGATATAAAGAAAAAATAATTTAACAACATACAATTAAATGTATGCAAAACCCTCAGTTACTTGGATTGCCTTCTTTGCAGAACTGATGGTTCTATCATTAAAGTTTTCAGCTAGAGTTTGAAACAGTACAGCAACCACACCAACAATATTTACACTCTATAAAGGGAGAGAGAAAGAGAGTGAATATTGCAGCATATGTCACTCACAGAGAATGTATTTTCTTGTTTTCTCAATAAATTCTGCATTTCCTGATTCTGACCATCACAAAGCCATGAGACCACATCGAGGACCACGCTAGCTCTTTTCTTAGCATCAGATTCACTTGTTTCCTATACAAAAATAGTAACTCTGCATATCAATGCAAACTTGTAGTATTTATCAAGTGTCAATAGTCATTCATTCATTCAAAGCTCTTTATTTCTATCATTACCAGCTGTCCAGCTCCTTCTATTGTAAATGCACGAATGTTCCTTTGCAGAAGGTGACCACCAAAATCAGTTTCATCTTCTCCTCCATCAGTTCCAGGTAAACCAGGCGGCTCACTACCTGACACCATTGACATTCCTCGCCTTGACTTAGTCTACACACACATACAAATTACATTGCTATTGATTATTGCTTGATATGTCTTACCTGCTGATCAGCCTCTCCCTATAATAAAAGAAATTATAAAAAACAAATTACAGACAATTGATTCTAACCTCTTCAAGACCTTTGAACATTTCTAGATTTATGCTATCAGTTGGAGGAGGAGGCAGGTGAGACATAGAATGCGAGAACTGATGCTGAAATTTCAACTGCCTAAAAAAACCAAAGCAAGGATGAGAGATGTTCATTATTACAGCCAATGTTCCACCTTGTTAGTGGATGACCAATGCTGGTAATGACACTTGCAAGTAGTTGATTGAGTCTAACGAAAAACTTTGTGTCTTTGTTGACAGATGTATTGCCTACAGTTACATGCAGTGTGTATTAAAATCAAATCAAGTGTAGCAAAACTGACCTATCTTTTTCTGAGCATTCTCATTGCCAAGGTATAGAAGTGCCCGTAAAAATGCAAAAACTTGAATAGCAATGTCATCCTTTGGATGAGCCAAATGAACACTGACCTACAACAGTGAGAATAAAAGAACATAAATGTGGTTATAATGATAGAATTTATAAGTTATATAATGACTTCACCTTCTCATGTGATTTTAAATCAACAAGAGCATCTTGAAGAGGTTTAATCTTTTTACAGTATTCCCTATATACATCCACATAAAATAATAGTGATATAGTTATTTTTTACTCTTCGAATAATGATGGATCTGATTTCTGTAGCTGTGGGTCCACACTGTCTATTCTAGTGTGCAACAGACCACATAAAACCTGGAGTGACGTGAGGATAACAAAGTCAACATTGGTTCTCTCATTTGATGTCAAAGGCTGCCGGAGCTGCCTGTACAAGACACTATAGAAAGAAATAAAACAAAACATTAATGCATACAAAACACAAAATACCATTTCATAGAATCCTAAAATGCATGCATGTACTGACTTCATTAATTGCAGTAGATTTTCTGCTTTTTCAGTTTTTCCAGAACTATCAAAGTCATCAGAAAAAATTCTAACAAGCTCCTGGAAGCTGGGTCCAGCTGGTACCAGATCAGTTTCTTCATTAGGAATGACTACAAACACATAAAGTAAAAGACATGTACATGCATGTGATAATATGTAAATGAAAGGAAGAAACATTTCACAAAGCTTACAGCCCTCCTGGTTGGTTTCTGCAATGCTTCCTTCGTATGTGGTTTTAAAGTTAACAATAAAAGTTTGAAATTGCTCGTTTAGTCTGATCTCTTCTCCAAGCTTTTCATCCACTTCTCTCAGAGCAGGACTTATAAAAAAGTCTTCATTAACTAGGACATTTTCTCTCACCTATTACAAATAATAAGCATCAAAATGACTCCAAATGCATACCGTACACAACATACACATGTACAAGCATACTATTAGCTTTTTCTCTCTCACTTTCTCTTCCATTTGCTTACTTCATTCAATTCTGCTATCTGATCAGAAGGTAGCATGAAGACCACAATGTCCATGAATTTGGTCCAATATTGAGTCATTTCAGGCATAGTAAGGAATGCTCCAGAACAATATTGCACTAAGCCCTTTAACACATTAAAATTAAGGTATTATATTATAATGTAAAAAATACAAATAGCAACATCATAATGAATAACTACATTTGTAACTTACCACTACTGAGTCAGTGAATTTCTTGAGGACAGCAATAATGGGAGGAGTGAGTAAACTAGAGTATGTCTGACTGGATAATCCTTTACTAGTGGTAGCTCCTAATTGCGTACAGAATGAAGTGACTAGTGGAATCATCCCGTCAATCAAGTAGCCTAGCACAGATGATACTAATATTGATTTCTCATTGTATTCAAGTGTGTCATTAAACTCTTTACTCCTCTCTCTCCATTCCTATAATAAAGATTATAAATATAACTTGTCCATTTTATCTCTCTCTCTCTCTCTCTCTTACAGTGAAGCTTGAGTGTTGCTTGAACAAGATGCGAACTTGAATCTTTATTCTCTCCAGTCCAATTTCTTTCCCCCTCAACTTATCTTGTATCATTTTAATTAGTTCAGCACATTCCTCTAAATGACCCCAGAAAGTACTAACATGAGAAACATAAATTCATAAATTTGTGTGGCAATTTCTAGTGTCTATAGTTAGCTTGGTGGTATATTACTTGTTCTTTGACAAGGCTGCAATAGAGACAAGTGAATCTCTCTCTGTATTTATGTAACCTTCATTAAGGATACAAGCAAAAGGTTTCCTTCTGTCAAATTCAATGTCTGGATTACTGACAATTCTACAAGAACAGTATACCAGTTACTACTGAGGTAATGCAATATTAATGTTATCAATATTAATATTAATTTCAACTTAAATGTTAGAGTGCTAGAGCTTACATGACTAGTTCATCCAGTGAGAATATTTTTTGAACTGCATCTTCAGCATACTTACAGAGTCCTTCTGTTGTACTTGCCAGTAAATCTGATACTGCTAACAATTGCAATAACCAATCAGTAGGTTCATCAGCCTAAGAAAGAGAAAGAGAGAGAGGGGAAAGATATAAGCAAGGGAGAAAGAGCATTTAGAAAGACAGAGAGGTTGGCACCTTTAAAATTAAATGCGTAAAAATTGATAAGTACACTAGTAAACACAAGAATAGAGCAGAGTTATATTCTTGCATTTATTGTTGCATTATATAGATCTAGCACTTCTAGTTGCAATGCAAATAATTATTCTGAACTCACCTTAAGTGCTGCTAATCTCTCCTCTTGAGCATTACCCATAAGTATTTGACCAAAGTGCTCCTCACTGTGCTCTGAGACTGTCTTTGCAATCAGCTCTTGATAATTCTTCATTATGAGTGGGACTCCCTTACTTGACTTATAAGGCTAAGGATAATAATACAATAATTGCAGCTCTTTGCTTATACAGTACTTTTATGACAGTTTCTAATACGGTAAAGAACTCATAGTGCTCAGGATTGCTGGAAGTGGCAGCCACTGTGTACAAATGTGCTATGTCACCCTCAGAGAGCTGGCGACACAATGAAGGATTACCAGAAAGAGTCTATGAAAAAAGAATAAAAATATCAAACTATCTTCCACCTATTATGTGTACTTCAGACATGAGACGAGCTAGTGGTGCAATAGCAATTTTAGCATCAATGAAATCAATGAAGCTAAGGAACACTTTCTTTTGTACCTGTCAATATAGTAACATGAGTAAAAGTAGCTAAGTTTCTTGCCTGGTCATTTCTGCGTGCAATTGCTTGCAAGCAACTACAAGAAAGCTTCAGGAGTGGAACATGCTCAGTGAAATTAGTGGAGGAATATAACTGAACATATGCCAATATAGCAGAAAATACACCTGAAAATTAAAAAAAAACATAAATTTCTAGAATATACAATATATTTAATAGGATCTTACCAGTGCTGAAAACTATTCCCTGATTACACGTGTGTGGTTGTGTCTCATCATCATCAATTGTACATACAGCTTTAATACATTTAAGAGCAGCAACAACTTCGCTATGTAGTGAATCATCTTCATCTGAAGCAATGATAAAAAAACAAAATAGGATGATATAATGCATAAAATTACAGGTGACATCTATTAAGTATTAACCTGGTTTTTCAATGGCTTGTCCTTGTAGTAATCTCAATAAGAGTTTTCGAGACTCACCGGCCTCATTTTCATCAGCAAAACAACCATACCTTATCATACTGCCAAAAACCGGGCCTGAAGGAGGAGTGACTATATACGATATTGCTGCATCACGTAATAATATATTTTCTTTCTAATATTAAAAGATAATAATTATAATGATAAAAGAAGACAAAGAGAGAAAGTAGAAAGAGAGAGCCACAAACTTGAAAGATATCGAAAAGCAATAAGGCGCTTGATAGTCTCAGATCATCATCTTCATACTTCATTAGGTCTAAGAGTATCTTAACAAGGCCTTGTCCATCCCCTTCATTCACATCAAAACTCTTGTAAGCTCGTTCACGAAATATATTCCTCAATCTGGACCTGGCCACTTCAATTATCCTACAATAAATTCATTAATAATTACTAATTCAAGTACATAGTGTACTAATATATCTTTTCAAAAATGCTTCAAAAACTGACTGTGGATCTTGTTCACTAAGTCTATAGTCTGGATTGAGGAGTGCACCAAGTGAGTCATTGACAGGTGTATAGTCATCATCAGATGCTATCTCGGGTTTAGATTGCAAAAACTTGAAATCAAACATCAATTTCTGGTTTTTAAAAATTCATTATGTTATTATTGTATAATAATTATGGACTGACCCCTAATGTAGTGTAAGTCAATATCTTGAATAGAAGGTGAAGGATGTGAACAGCTCTTCATTGAAGAGAGTGAGAAAAGAAAAGACAGTTAAAATTATAGTTTAATTAAATGTTCATTTACTTTGTTTTAACATCAAAGAGTCTTTGGTTCTTTTCAATGTTCTTGTATCGCCTTTTTTGCTGATAATTGACAACTTGTTCAGGAGTAGCATCTAATATAAGATAAATACATCATAACAATGAGAATAGAATGTCAATGATTCTCACTTGGTGATGGGCGATCATGGTTCCCATCAATGATACTAATCAAACATTTTGTTATTTCATTAATATCAGAATCATCCCAGTAAAAAATATAAGCAACAAGTGGATGCATTACTGATAACATTTGACTCAAGAGTTCATTGTTGCCTTCAATTTCTTCTTTAGAGTACAATATCTATAACATATGTAATGTGAGTACAACTGAATTTTAGAACAATTAATACAAAATCCAATTTTCATCAGATTGCTCAAAAATTTTACACAACATAAATACATGTATATGTATAGGAAAAAATTATAAAAATTGGGAAACCTCTACTTTTCAATTTTGGCAAAATTTGCCTCAAGACCATGTACTATATAGTACAGGGTCTTTGGCCCAATTTTTAAGCAACTTAAAAAATCTTTTAAATATAATTTTGATACACAGCAAGATATATAGCAAGGCTGCAAAAGTTGTGGCAGTCATTTTGTTTGAGGGTGAATCATACTTAGTAATGCTACCGCGTTACTAATATGCACTGAACCAAGATAGTACATACATGAATTAATTTATATATCATTCATAAATGTACACAATACATGGAAATATTTGAGCGGTTACCTTAACTTGAATCAAATAAGATCTTATGCTTGACTGCAGTTCCTTTATCTCAGTCTTGTCTGGTATGACATCAAAAGTATCTCCAAAACTGGCTGCCTTAGGACCCACCATCTTCCAATACTAAACAAAGCGTGGGCGAAGTAATAATAATAACTAGGAGTAATATAGAACATTTGGAGGGGCAAGCCTGAGCTATATGCATGCAATTAGATGGCATTATTAGCTGTAAAAAGTGAATCACTAATGAGATATATAATGAGTATGGACAAAATCACAATAACAATAAAATAATAATAATAATAATGATAGTAATAATAATTACTGCATAGCATAAGTACAGGCACATTCAATCACTTACAAATGAGTGCCAAACATTGTCAATATCAGTTCCACTCTCTTCGACATTGCGATCAACATAGGCGGACACAATGAAATCAAGATAAGCTGATTGCAGTAGAGGGTGATAATCACTGTCATTAATACAAATAAGTGCTTCCTCAAAAGTCACCATCTTCTTAATTTTACAAATCTGCTCAATGGTTTTAAGATTTACACCCTGGAGAAAAAATGAAAAATTGAGACAAAAAAGCAAAATAAACTTGAAATAAATTATTATTAAAAAGCTATCTGACTTTGCAAATTCGACTCAACAGCTTTAGTTGTGCAATAAAAAACTCAAATTTTTTCTTTTTGGTTGTATAAGTTGTCTATAACAATATAAAATAATTGATAATGACAATAATGAATTTGTTACTTTTGAGCAGATCCTGGATACTGGTCCAGCTATTCCTTGTGGACGAGTAAAGCAAATGACACCATCTTCTACTTTAGTACGTATAAAAGACTTCTGTAATTATTATCAAGAATGGAATCAAAATATTAAATGTGTTGGATTTAGCTCCAGAAATGAACCTAACTTACCTCTGCATCCATAACAATCTTATCAAATATGACATCTGTAATGTATGACAAGATGAATAATAATAATAATAATAGAAATAATGATAATAATAATAATAATAATGATGATAATAATAATTATAATAACGACAGCGATACATACTCTGCAAAGATCGAACTGGTTTTCCAGCTGTAAAACAGAGTGTACTCAAGAAGTCAAGAATAGGTGCATCCTGAAGGAGGAGCAGTAAATGAAGAGAATAAGATATGAAAAACTTACCAGGTTCTTTTTAATTTGCTCAATAACATCTTGATTCTGTGTTAATCTCTTTACCACTTTACTGGTGATTGAACTTTTATATATACCATATGTGTGAACAACAAAAATATTAAAAAATTTATTATAATTATTAAAAATAAGTTAAAGTACCTTTCATCTTTCACTAAACTGCTGAGAACTCCCTCAACACCAGAATTACAACCTATCTGTACACACACACAATAATAATTATAATAGTAACAATAGCCTAATAATATCTCATTTTTTCATTTTTTCTCTTCATTTGCCCTTCCTCATTGCAATTACTTCATACAGTATGTAGTTGCATATTGGTTGCAAACCTGTTTAAAGAGCACGTCCATGAATCTTTTCTCTGCCAGGTAAAGGTGACTCTTTTTGTTTGCAGAATGCAAAAATGCTTGCAAGACTAATGACACTTTTCTCCTCATTTGTTTCAATCTACCAATTGATACACATTATTCCTCTATTATCAACAGATGCATAAACTTTACTCTTTGGTGTCTGGAAAAGGTTCCAATTTATGAAGAAAACCAAGCAGCAAATCAACACCCTAAGGACAAAATAAACCAGTAAAATAAGAGCTATATACTTTTTGATATCTATTGCTCTAACCTGTGATATTCTAAGCATATTTGCTCTAGTCTTCTCACTCCCTTCTCCTTTCAACCATTGAGATAGTTTCTGCAATACTTCAAGAGGCTCATCAAATGAAGGAGGAGTTGAATCAGCAGTAAACTAGCAGTTAATATTAACTCAACATTGAGTATTATACTACTGCAATACCTTTTGCATGTATTCCTTCAATACAGCAGTAACGCCTGATATATGATAATACTCATGAATGACATCAGGATTAACCTATACACATGTACGATAAGGTAAAACAAATAAATTATCAGAAGACTATGCAATGTGTACCAGCTACTGTGATAAAATACCTCTTCAATGTGAAAGTATTGATGACTAGATTGATCACTATCTTCAAGACCAAGCTATAAAGAATAATAGTAATGATAATAATAATAATGATGATGACAATATAATAAGTCAATAACAATAATAATAATAATAACAGTGCGCTACCTTCAACCATTTGCTTTTTGAAACTGGCTCAGGACTTGCCTCTGAATTTGCCCTTTGCAAATAGACCTTTGCTACAAGAGAAGTAATGAGTAAACCAAGCTATTAACAATCAAGTAAGAAAAGTGCTACATAGATATAATAGATACCTTGCATACTTGAAGTATGCAAGAATAATCATATCCATATAGTGCATGTACAATACTTACTCTGAACTGATAGGTTTTTCCCCGACTGGACGTGCCTAATTTCAACATAACTACCTTTATTTATGCCAGCCTTTTTCTAAAAACCGAATACAATATTGACAATAATAATAATAATCACAAACTAGTAGAGAAGAGACAGCGTGTGCTTTAACTTACTCCAAGAACTGACACTAAACTGAAAGTTGTCTCTGGATCAATGGGCATACCAGCCTCCAACTTTTTTAACGTTAACTATTATAAGATACATTATTAGATTAGAGTGTCATTATTGAAGACAAATGGATTAGAGGCACACACCTTCATGTTCTCCCCTACTGATAAATACTGCTGGGTTGGTAAGTGTTTGATGCGACAGTGATCTCCATACTTGAATTGATCACCTAATAAAATATTAAATCACATATTCATGTGTAGTTTAATTATACTAACCACTAAGAGGTGCTTTTGCATTCTCCAGCTGCCAGAAACAGTCACCAGAGAGTGGAGGAGCCTTTTGTATCCCATGGACTGACTCTCTCTTTCTAGCTCCAACTACAAAAAAGGAATCATACATAAACTTAGTACTGTATGGTTACATAGTAATTCAAGATTTCACTGTGCTACAACATATAAAACTGGAGCAATAGGTTGCATGAATGATTGTTGTTGCCCAATGTCCTGGCTCTATACTGCCTGTGTGTAGCATACCTTCTGTAATGACATCTTCCTTGACTGCATCAGGCAATACTTCTGTTACTATTGATCCACGTCCAGCAAGATAGCCTTCACGTTTATAATTAAACAACATCACAACATCACAGCCCTATTATTATTATTATAAATATTTCCAAACCAATTCATAGCTATAACATAACATACCCGCATTGCTTTGTGTGGTAATTTTACATGACTACTTGACTGCGACGAAATTATAAATATAGAATCTGTGACTGCCATTTTAAGCTCATACCTGTGGAGTAAGTACTAACATTGAATTGAATTCAGAATATTAATCATAACTATTTAATTAGACTGTGTATGCATTGCTACAAATTGATTGCTATAGTAATGCCTTACTATTCCTTACTATTACTCAGGGCCAATCCCTTTTTACTATACTATAACTCTAAAGTGTCAATGTCAACTAACATTATTCCATACATTCATCATTCCATATAATCACTGTTAGTGCATTTGGTGTGAATATTTCCTCTACTATACCTTGAAGAAAGTGAATTCAATGCACAGAGTACGTGATGCCCTTTGTCTGAAACTGACTCAAGCTTAATGTGATCCTGAGGCAGTACCTGCACGGAGTAAATGAGTATTGATTTTGAAACTGAATAGTCTTCTCTGTACTTACATCTTCTCCTCTATGCTTATTTGTTCTAGAAGGAAGTATGCGAAACAAACAATTCTCCTTTTTAAATTCATTGACCAACGTCACCTATTTAACACAAACCAATTAATTGCACGTTAGCATGTTCCATGCTCTATGAAGTGTATCTAATTTTATTTGCTGACTAATCAATGCACATGTCAGCTGTAGTTTACAAATTCTCACAGTTTTATTAATAGGAGAGTCACTTTCAGCAACACTTGATGAAAGATACATCTTAGAAGCAACATGAAGAAGCTACAGGCATTGTTATATAACCTTCATTATAGCATTGTGAATCATACTTTCACTTTTCTTCCATATACTAAGCTACGTCTTAAAAAATCTTGATTCTATATGACATAATTTCAAATTAACAATAGGAAAACATAATTATCGACCATGATGCTACATTGTAGTATACATACCCTCCGTGGGACTTCCAATGGTGATGTTCTTTTGAGGCTGTAAAATAAAGTACAGTATAAACATTACGGGAGTTCATGCTATGTACATAGGCTTGGTCAATGATTAAACCACCACCATTACTTATGTACACAAAATTAAAAATTAGTTTTCAAGACACTTGTATGGTTCATGCAGTTTTAAAACTAACTTGATGTTGACATTTTCAGCTAAGACCTGGAATGATGCAACTGTATGTGCAGGTGTGGAAAGTTTATATAAAAAGCAATTTATTTGCTGTACACTTACAATGAACATTTGGAATGGCAGGATCTCTTAGTTGAGCTTGTCGCTCGGGGTTTGAGACTGGCAAGATAGTGACACAGCTGTGACTTGAACTGCAAATAAGCATAATAATGATGAAATGTATACAGACTAATTTACCTTGGGGATAGTGCATACACAAATCCTTTTGCCTCGCAACAAAAAAGCTGAATAGTATCTCCTTCATACACAGGATCTGCTGCCGAGGAATCTGCCATTGCCTCGACCCTAGATCGCAAAGCTTGATCCAGCTCAGCCACTCCTATATTCCTGAGGTGTGGCATCTAAGATTAATTTACACGTGACAAGTTGAGAAGTCTGAGGTGAATTACACTGAATTTAAAGAATGAATATAAGACAAGCTACTGTAAGTAAGCTAGTGGAGTAATTGTAATAAAATTGGTACTGAAAATGGGGAAAATTTGTGACAAAAGTAATAGCTATAATTCAAAAGGGGTGTACATAATAATATAGACTAAATAATAATTATTATTTTGGTTCCTCTCTCAATAGCTACTAAAGTAGGGGTATTTACATTTTAAAAATTATCCTTAATGAAGTATGGGGGGGGGGGGTAACAAGCATTGTTCATTGCTTTGTCTAAGTATGGGTGGGAACATTGATGTTTATGGCCTTTGTACATGAAATATTTTAAATAACTATGGGCTGGGCCAATTAATGGCTAATTAATTTGGTTTGCAAAATTATAATTTAATATAATATTATTTTCATTCTATAGCCAGATGACTTACTTAACATGCAGCATTGCAATCTTCTATGTTTACCCGAAAACTATCAAATGAAGTATTACTTTTATCACGGTCTCTCGTGGCCCCAACTCTCATACATTGCCGAAGATGACGAAAAACGCATCGTGGGATACGTACTTGCTAAGATGTAAGATATTGTATAGCACAAAATTTTTGAGGGCTGTAAATTTCATGAATTTGCCTTAAAATCTATTTCACAGATTTAATTTTTGCAAATTTATGCCTTCTGCCATTTTATACCATAAAAATTTGATTTTCGTGGAATTATTTTTTGCAAATCTTAAAAAAATTATGAAATCTGTGAAATTTTACAGTCCTTGAAATTTTTGTGCTATACGGTTGCAAATTGTAATTATAAAAATGATGTAGAGTAATGACCTTTGTAGTTAAAATCCTGTTTTGTTACACTTTTCCAATGACTATCATCACTTTGTGTAGTATCATTACTCATACTATTACACACTGTTATGCTAAATGGTGACTTTATGATAATATGATAAAGATATTATAATTTAAGTACTCCCTTGCTTTTATCTGTCAGGGAGGAAGATCCAGATGATATCCCACACGGTCACATCACATCGCTAGCCGTTAGGAGGACGTACAGACGTCTTGGACTGGCACAGAAACTAATGGATCAGGCTAGTCGAGCCATGGTAGAATGCTTTGGAGCTAGATATGTGTCACTACATGTCAGAGTTAGGTTAGCATCACTATGTTAAGAATATTTCCCTTTTTCAACTATTAATACTTTGGGATGGATGGCAGCATATGAATTTCCAACTATTATCCATTTTGGTTTTTTAAAATAAATTATAGCCCTGTAAAAATATCCAATTTATGGTTGTACATGTACATACTCTAGAGACAAGATTATATTTTCATTTTCCATCCTATACCTTTGAGGATATGAAGCCATGTACATAACTAAAGTCCATATTGTGTGCTGTATCTAGGGCGAGGCCATACCCTACCTTCTCAGTATTCACAGTAATTTCATCACTGGTAGTAAACACGAGCCATAAAGTGCCAAGTAGTCAAAGTAACATTAGCAGCTGCTATGCACCTTTTTTGCTTAAAAATTGTTTATTGACATTATTCTCCCAATCCTCTAGTAATAGAGCAGCTCTTCACTTGTACGAAAACACGCTCCACTTTAGGTAAGTTATGTTGTGTACACAACTACAATAATTTCATTTTAACAGCAAGGAAGATGTGGAAGCTAAGTATTATGCTGATGGTGAAGATGCTTTTGCAATGAAGAGAGATCTGTCCAATGTTGCTGAAATGATTGCCAGAGAAAAGAGAGACGAGCCTTCAAGACATCAGAAATCTCTTCCAGGGAGCAGGAGGAATAAAACAAGTTGAACAAAACGAGAATTATTATCATTTAAAATTATTACCAATGCAATAACAATACTGGTAAATAATAGTGTATACATTATACCAAGTGTATTAATACACAATAGTCTGGCTACAATGGTACAGCCCATTATAACACACTGTCATCGTTATCATCGAGGTGAAGGAGAGCGGGAATCCATCCTGCGATCATCTCTTATCCCAGGAGATCGCCTAAAGAGAGTAACAATGCATTAACAGACTGTCTCAGAACTTTACCTGTAAGGAGGGCTCCTGTATGCTGGGCTTCGATATGGAGGACTTCTGGACCTACGGTGATCATAATAGGGGGACCTTGAGCGACTCCGTCTGCTGTAGTAAGGTGATCTGAGGAGTTGGTATAAAAATATAATAGAGGAAGGTAGGTAGACATCAGTGTGATACACAGCTGATAGTCATGCAGTATGAAGGCATAGAAATAAGTAGGTGGGATGGGAAGTAGGAAGGAGAGAGGGAGGGAGAGCTAATGGCTGGAGGGAAGGGGACGGAAGTTGTGCGATGACTGTAGGCAGGAGGGGAGTAGGTGTTGCATGTGCTAAGCCTGCGAAAACCAATAAGGCAATAATAAGGTTAGAAAAATAATTAGAGGAATATGTGTGTGTACACTACCACCGTAATGGAGGAGAGAGAGGGGATTAAAAACATTACAAAATCAACATAATTACAGACAGACAAACATTAGTTTAGAGAATAAAAAACAAGCGCGATTTATTCTAAACCTTTCATTATTAACGCGTTACACATAAATGATTAATGAGAAACCGATAATTCAAATAATTAAAGACCTCCCACTATCAATGTTACTACATACCTAGATCTCCTTCTGGGCGGTGATCTTCTGTCCCGATGATATCCACGAGGTGGAGGGGGCATTCTCCTGTTCCTTCCACCACCAGAATACCCACGACCACCTCCACCACCGCCATCGTTTCGGTTCCTGGCAGCCTCTACCTTAATCCGGGCATTACAAATCATTTTCCCATCTAACTCTCGTATAGCCTCTTCAGCATCCCGTGGGTCTTCAAACTCGACAAAGGCAAATCCCGGCGGGTTTCTAGCTACCCATACACTTTTCAAAGTACCAAAACGTTCGAATTCCCTTTCCAATACACCCTTGTCACCATTTTCACCTAGCTCTCCAACGTATACCTTGGTTGACATTATGAGATAAGATTTGAGCGCCTTCTCTCTCGACAGCAGACGCGAGGGGTATTTGTTGTGCTGTACTGCGCATGCGCACAAGACGTTGCTGTCGCACGTGACTGCACTCACACTGCACTGGTTGAAATCATGAGACCATGGGAAAGTGTTGCTAACAGTTATTTTTGACTTTAAAAATATTTTTATTGACAACCACAATTGAAATAATGTAATTTTAAAGATTTTGGTATGGTACAAAATAAGTAGACAGTAATCAGAAAAAAATGAAAAATTATTATACATAAAAATTTAATAATTTATAATATTCACAGACTGAAAAGACATTCATCATCATTGTCTAAGATCATTGCCCATTGTGTGTGAATGAGCTGAGCTTGATCATGTACAGAATGTGTAAGGTGCATGTAGGATTGCGTGACAGGTGCATGCTGAAAGTGGACTACTAATTAATTCAAAAGACTACAACTTCTGCTCACCAATCTTCTGGCATTGAATCTCTATACTATAAAGGAAAAGGAAAAACCTTATCAAAGGGAGACCAGGATAACCAAAACCAAATCAGACAAACCCACAATAGCCACAATAAAAGGCAACCTAATCTCTGAATATACATAATATCAGACATCAAACAGTAGGCATTCACATGCACACACACATGTACATGTACACACACATTCACATAAGATTAAGTCTGCAATACTCACAAAAACTCTCCAGTCTTGTTCATGACTTCCTCCACGGCTTGCTTGATGGCCTTGACGTCTAGCGAATGCCTCCATGCTTTAAATTTAATTTTAACTATAATTCTGTGCTGGGGTTGGTCGGTCTTTAACGTCAGTGGATACGAGTGACGGGAATAATGTGTCATGCGTTTGGCATCGAAGTGAATCTCCCAAGTTGGGAATGCCTGTAAAAATGAAAACACATGTCATTAACAATGTGCTAATTAGCTAACAAGTACAACCGTACACAAATTCGTTATCACTCCCTTACCTGCTGTAGTCTTTCTAGTACCTCGTCAAAGTCGCAAGAGGTCAGCATGCCGCTCCTGGCAGCATCGTCAGCCTCAATGGGGTACTTTATCTTGATCCAGAGAGAGGGATAGACCGTCCCGCCGTTAGATCCCGAAGAAACGTGAGTGTAGTCACTATCGATACCAGAGTCAGCTCCCACAGAATGGATACTGTGTCTGCTACGGCCTAAAGAGCGAAGAGTGGACAGGCCCCAAGAGCGTATGCTCCCTTCCATATTCTCTGCTCCAGAGCCGCTATTCATAATGCCAGTCCAGCAAGGAGCACAGCTGAGTTAGCCTAGGAATAATAAGATTGGAATGATATAACGTGTGGTGTTTTGGGTGTGGCTTTATAAAGTGCTGAGCTGACCACTTCTTCTAATTCTGGAGGAGATAGACATCTGATCCTACGGTTCAATCAATGATGGAGGAGGAGGTATGTGAGCTCAAAAGTGATTAAAAGTGTTATTCTTAATTGCTAGGTACACTACGAGCCACAGTCCGTAGATAAAAGCAATAAAGGTTGGTTTCACAGTTTCACACTAGGGGATGGTTTCTTTGTTTATAGTTGTGATGTATTTTAGTTGTTAATGTGTGAGTCTGCTATACTTTCATAATGTTAAATCTCTTTTTGACCGTTTCTATATTGATATTAGGACTAACTCCTCGCGAGAAACTGTGTCGAGTTGTTACGCTTATCGTATGCCTCATATTATTGTCCATATCCATAGGAGGATTGGTCACTTTGATGATAATACCTAATGCAAACCATCAGTTACAGACAGCTACGGTACAAGAATCTGTCACCACCTTACTCCGCACCGTTGATCCTTACTATTACAATGTGCGAGTGAGCACATCAGACCATACATTGGTCAATGTTAGTATTGGTACCATGGCCTGTTCTAGCCTTGTGACATACTCAACGAGCCATATTGAAACCATCACAGGTCATCATCTTAACAGTCACAGTACACGACACAAGTTAGAGCCATTGGAGAAATATGCTTATCTGGTCTCTGGATCAAACATGTTAATTGAAGTGAATGTCACATCTTTTCCTCCTCATCACTTGCCAGCTAATGACATTAGTCTTTACGTCTTCACTGACTGGGACAGTTATAATTCTTTCGATCAGAGCCAGACGACTGTGACAAAATACTACAAACGAATCGAGGTTTATAGTTCCACAGCTATCACTTTCATTGTGCGCGAGACTGGGTTTTATTTGTATGGATTGAGTATTCCAGTGGGAACGAAATATCTCTACTCGTATGATATTACAAGATTCGCTTATAACTCGACGAAATCCACAAATTGCAAGCTGTCCTCTAAATCAGAATCCTGTCTGATCCGTTTTGATAATACCATGCTAAACGAGAAGCAGTGCATATTGTCATCCTGCAGTGGAAAGAATCACTCCATTTATACGATAAATAGTGAGCTGGTAAGGAAGCCAGTCACATCAGGTGCTGCTATTTTGATATCTACTGTTTTCGTTCTCTTAATGATCCTTGTTGCTCTTTTGTTTTACGATTGCTATCGTTATAGACTGGACTCTAAACTGACGACTCTTGATACATGCGTTTTTAGACGACGCAAAATTGTCATAAAACATTAATATGACTCTCTTTTGATGCATGATTATTTCATTTATTCTTATGATGCATGATTATTTCATTTATTCTTATGTAGTGTGTATAATAATACATTTTTTGATACATGATTTGATTTCTTTGTGTTATCATTATAATATGTAGCTTCCATAATAAAACATTTTGAAAAACAATTTAAGTAATACGGTGCCAAACTGCTGCTGCCTTTTTGCATCATTGTCAACACTAAATGTTTACTCAAAAAAACTTATTTAACACTTCATTAGTATATGAATTTGCAATAGTTCATTACCTGTCATGAGAATTGAGAATATATAATACATGTAAATCAACTAAAATTTTAATTTCATTGCTAGAAGTTTGGTCTGCTTAGAGTTGTCATTAGTTATTGCTCTAGGTGCAAACTTAAAAGGTTTTTTAGCCTGAGCCTTAGCCTTGGGTTTCTATAAAACAAAAGGAAATAATAATTAATGAATAATACATTTTATAATAGACTCACAATGAACATGCTCTGTCCACCAAAGCCATTAAAACCACTGCTAATGGTCTACAGAAGAAATTATAACATAAAATACAATGATTTTAATAACTATAGACTTACTGATGTAGCGCCATTATTCAGTTTACGAACAGGAACAAGAGCTACATGTAAGACAAATAATTTATTATTTCATATAATTCCCTTTATGCAATGAATACCTTCAGTTAAGCTAATGGGTTTGCTGGCTGCTGGCTATAAAATAAAAAAAGAGTATGATTTATAACAGTGATTGGAGGCAATTTAATTACTTCAGCATTTTCATCTTTTCCAGTGGATAATTGAGGACTGCAGTCATTAGCCATCAGCTTCTGTCTCTTTGCTAGTGCTTCTGGCATTGGACTAAATACCAAAATAATGTGATAGAAGCAGTCAAAATAAACACTACATGTAACCAGTGTTTCTAAAGCCCCGTTTACACTATGCCCTTAAAGCGGTTTGGAACCGGTTTAGAAATAAATCAGTTTACATGTGGACAATTTCAAAACGGTTTAAACCGATTTATCTCAAACCACCTCAGGAGGTGGTTTGAGATAATCAAACCGGTTTAAGTACTGAAGCAGCTGTATTATGTATGCAATGTAGCATTGTAAACCGATTCAACCACAGTTACGTGTGGACACAATTAAGCTGGTTTCTGAACCGCTTTGATCCAAACTGGTTTGTAGTGTAAACGGGGCTTAACAGGATTTTGACATAGTGGATTGTCAAAATATTCATATTGGTCTACGTTTTCAATACATGTACATGTACTTATGTGCTGCATAAAAAGTTTGAGCTAATTCAAATCAAAATTAGATTTTTATGAATTTTTAAAGTTGTGAAAAAATTGGGCCAAAGTATGTTTTACATGTACCTTTCGAGAATTCTTTGAAGAGTTGTTCTTGAGTTAGGAGACTCTAGTGCCTTCTCTAAAAGGTGCACTTTCTTTCTTAAATTGTCTTTCTCCACTTCAGCCGACTGAAGATCAGCTCTAAGAGTAAGGACATCAGAATTAGCTGACTGCAAATCCATATTCAATGAACGAACCTACAAATGCATTTAATGGTCACCATACATACATGTACATGTACATGTAGACAAAACAATGTGTGTACTTTGTGCTTTAAATTGGTGACTTCTCTTAAGTACTTGTCCTTTTCTCTTTGCAATACCACCTTCCTTTCATTTAAAGTGTCATACTCACTGTAAATAAATCATCACTCATTAATAGATAATAAAGATAGTAACTACCTCTTGAGTGCTATAACATAGTTGGATAGAGAGGTTGAAGAGGAATTGAATATCACTTCGTGAGCTTCATCCCTTGTTCCAGACAAGAGAAGCTCAATTCTAAATGCATTAATAGAAAATATTACCACATTAGATGTACATGTAATGCATTAACATGAAGCGTGAACATGTAAATCCTTTTACCTTTCCAGTGTATGCACTTTTTCTTTCAATTCTGTGGCTTCTTTAGCTTTCTCTTTAAGGATTTCTTGCTCGGACTGAACTAGTTTCAACTTATGCTAACAAGAACAATATGAGAGAGAGAGAGGATGAAAGCCATAAGGCTCGATGTGGGTTGGTCTCCTTACTTTCAAAGACTCGCTGATTGCCTTTTCTTTCTCAATCTTGAACTGTGCTCCGTCACACTGAGCTTGCCATGCTGTCACTTCTTGTCTTATCTCCTCCAATTCTTTCTTTGCTTTCTTTAATGCCTCATCTAAAAGTACATGATAGTGATACACTATGCTAATAATGCATAGTATAGTACCTTTCTCCTTGCTCAGGCTTTCCATCTCTTGTAATTTCTCCTAATAAATGAATAAATAACAGTGATTCACATTTTTCAGATGCACGTAACTATAAAATAGGCCTGTTCTTTTTTCAAAAATTGGCTCATTTTAAAAATGTTCATAACTCAAAAAATATTCAACAAAATCAGCTCAAACTTTCTACACAGCATTAGAACATCAATATGCATCACAAAATGTAATAAAAATTGGGGGTGATTTCGGAGCCATTTTTCAGAAAAAACCATGGGCTATAGCCTTGGGTATTTTTCAAAAAATGGCTTATTTTTAAAAATGCTCATAACTCGAAAAATATTTGTCGGAATCAACTCAAACTTTCTATACAGCATTAGAACATCAATATGCATCACAAAATGCAATAAAAATTGGGGGTGATTTCGGAGCCATTTTTCAGAAAAAACCATGGGCTATAGGTATTTTTCAAAAAATGGCTTATTTTTTAAAATGCTCATAACTCAAAAAATATTTGTTGGAATCAACTCAAACTTTCTACACAGCATAAGAACATCAATGTGTATCAAAAAATTTAATAAAAATTGGGTGTAATTTTGGAGCCATTTTTCAGAAAAAACCATGGGCTATAGCCTTGGGTATTTTTCAAAAATTGGATCATTAAAAAAATGCTCATAACTCGAAAAATATTTGTCGGAATCAACTCAAACTTTCTACACAGCATAAGAACATCAATGTGTATCAGAAAATGTAATAAAAATTGGGGGTGATTTCGGAGCCATTTTTCAGAAAAAACCATGGGCTATAGCCTTGGGTATTTTTCAAAAAATGGATCATTAAAAAAAAATGCTCATAACTCGAAAAATATTTGTCGGAATCAACTCAAACTTTCTATACAGCATTAGAACATCAATATGCATCACAAAATGCAATAAAAATTGGGGGTGATTTCGGAGCCATTTTTCAGAAAAAACCATGGGCTATAGCCTTGGGTATTTTTCAAAAATTGGATCATTTTTTTTTAATGCTCATAACTCAAAAAATATTTGTTGTAATCAACTCAAACTTTCTATACAGCATAAGAACATCAATGTGTATCAAAAAATTTAATAAAAATTGGGTGTAATTTTGGAGCCATTTTTCAGAAAAAACCATGGGCTATAGCCTTGGGTATTTTTCAAAAATTGGATCATTTAAAAAAAATGCTCATAACTCGAAAAATATTTGTTGGAATCAACTCAAACTTTCTACACAGCATAAGGACATCAATATGTATCAGAAAATGTAATAAAAATTGGGGGTGATTTCGGAGCCATTTTTCAGAAAAAACCATGGGCTATAGCCTTGGGTATTTTTCAAAAAATGGCTTATTTTTAAAAATGCTCATAACTCAAAAAATATCTGTCGGAATCAGTTCAAACTTTCAACAGAGCATAAGAACATCAATATGTAACAGAAAATGTAAAAATGGGGGGGGAGAGTGATTTTCCAAGCCAATTGAAGATAACCAGATCTTTCTTTGAAAACTGACCAGCCTTACTTACTTTTAAATCCTGAGCAGATAGTTGATCCAGCTGAGAAGACATATTTATCGTAGTATTGGCATCCTCTAAATAAAGTCTGAGAGTTCTTCGAGGAGTACAGCTCTCACGACACTGAGGACAGGTCTTCTGATGCTTCAACCATTCATTTAAACTAAAAACACGAGTATTACATAATTACTAGCATTACAATGAATGGACGTAATAATGATGCATTTAATTAAAACATATTGTGATTTTCTCACCAAGTAAGATGAAATGCATGTCCACCTAGTATAATGGAGTCAAGGTATTTATATAACAAATTAAAAGTATCTACAATGTACACTATAAAGGAGGATACAAGGAGCAGCAGCAAAGGCATCTTTTTGTACAGTGCCAGCACAAATCACGCAACCAATCTTCATCTGCCAAAAGAGAATATTATTGTTAGAAAAATAACGAAGAAACTCACTGTAGAATACAGTAGAAAGTATGAAAAGTGTGCAAACCAAGTCTCAAACACTAACTAATTTGAAATTTCTTTTTAATTTCCCGCCCTCCTCATTTTACTGTTAATTTAGAATTACGGTATACCACGTGCTGTCTTGAAGTTGATAGCCATGGCATTGTTCCCCGTGCCTCGTTACATGGGAGAAGACGAGAAAGAAGGAACAGTAAGATCTGTAATGACCTTAAAGGAGCTCCATACCATTGCTAAAGAACGGGCCAAATCAATTACTGGAAGGGAAGCAGGTACTATTATAAAGAAAGAAGTGAGGGAAATGGATGTGGATGACAACAAGAAAACTAAAGGGAAGAAAAGAATGAAAAAACTTGAGCCTGACACAGAGAGCAGTGAGCAACTGAAGCCCAAGAAAAGAAAGCATGATGTGAAAGCAAGTGAAGAGACAATGGAACATGATGAGGCGTGCAATGATGATGGAGGTGATGATGAAACGGAGGAAAATGACGAGGAAGATAATCCTTTACCAATGGTGACGCATTCTGAGAGATATCGCCCATCGACACAACTGACCTATCATCACCTACCTGACTGGGTTACTCAGTCTCACCACATTGAGTCAGACATTGCCGAATATTCACAGTCTCTAGAAGACTTTGCTCTTAATCCAATCATTACGGATAACTTGCATAAGATGAGTGTCACCAGTTTATTTCCTGTCCAGTGTGTAGTTCTACCAGAGCTCCTGTCTAGCTCTCACGGTCCATTATTATCTACAGTTTCTGGAGCTCCCCCATCAGATATGTGCATATGTGCTCCAACTGGCTGTGGAAAGACCTTGAGCTATGTTGTGCCAATTGTATCTAGTTTATTGAACAGAATTACTCGAGAGTTGAAAGCTCTTGTAGTGGTCCCATCTAAAGACCTTGCATTACAGGTCTATAATGTATTTGTGTCTGTTTCAAAAGGTACAAGAGTAAGGATTGGTGCAGTAGGCTCTCAAAACACTAGCTTCAGTGTTGAGCAGAAACAACTGATCAGTCATCATGGCCCGGCGGTTGATGTATTGGTAGCTACTCCTGGTCGTCTTGTTAGACATTTGCAGGAGACACCATTTCTTTCTTTAGCGTCTCTTCGGTATCTAGTCATTGACGAAGCTGATAGGATTTTTGAGCAGTCATATCACAATTGGCTAAACACTGTAATGGACTCCATAAGAGAGACTCATTCATCCGGTCATTGTCCTTTATCTTCATCTTGCATACCCCGTATGTACCCCGAATTATGGAAGCCATCTTTCTCAAAGTCTTTATTAAAACATAAAGGAATGCACACTGACTCCCAGCTCTCTTCCTCAATTAATGATTTAATATACCCGGCAGCCGCTCCCCTACAGAAACTTCTCTTTTCAGCCACTCTCTCACTGGATCCTGAGCAGCTCCACCTGCTACAGCTGTATAGACCAAAGTTGTTTACTGCCACACCTGCATTGCAAGAAGATTTGGGTCAATCAATATTGCCATCAACTCTTAAAGAGTATTCGATAAGTTGCAGTTCTGACTATAAGCCTCTTGTTCTCCTACATCTCATTCTTACCTTTGATCATCACAGGATCCTTTGTTTTACGCACTCTCGTGAGTCCACCCATCGCCTGACCCTCCTTTTAAAGGAGTATGATGCGCCTGTTGCTGAAATATCAGGAGACCTTTCGCAAGAAAAGAAAAACGAGCTAATTAAGAAATTAACTGGCAAAGAAATAAAGGTATGAAAGATAATTATATATTGCTTCATTGCAATGGTGCAGATAATGTGGGGTGCATTACCGTGCATATGTATTACTCATTCATTCATATAACTAATGATATAATGTCTTTTATTGCTTAGGCTCTGGTTTGTTCTGATGGTATGGCTAGAGGTATGGATATCCCCGGGATCGACTGTGTCATCAATTACGATGTGCCTAGTCACTTTCGTTCATATTTGCACAGAGTAGGAAGAACTGCAAGAGCTGGCGCTGAGGGAGCTGCTTATACTCTAAATACATTTGAAGAGGTACTGGTATATACATTGGATGTATTATGTTATAGTAGTGTGTTTTTCTGTAGGTTCATAAGTGGCAACGCATGATCAGAGAAGCAGGCAGGAAGCAAATTGAAAATGTATCAATTACTGAAGATGATTTAAAGCAATATGTAATTAAATATTCAGATGCACTGGAATCTGTTGCTAACTCGATAACTTGTAAACGTAAATAATTCTTTTTTTAAAAAGAAAATAAAATAATTATTTTTTATAGTCGATTAAAAATTATTAATTATTCTGGGTGTGTCAGTAATTATTGTTTCTATGGTAACAGAAACACTCAAGATGGCGGAGGACGAAGTTTATTATCTTAAAGGTTATTATTATACTTTATTTTGCTTGCCGTTATGGTTTCTGCATTTTAGAAGGTACAGTAGAACTGGATAGTGATGATGGATACAGCTACAAAGAAATTGCTGTAAGTTTATTAAATTAACTATACTGTTATTGATCGTTGCTCCATCACTGCTGTAGGTTCTTGAAGAAGGTGCACTCTTGTCCTCAGGTAGGTATTACAATGATTCCTATAATAATGAAGGATTTATTATTATTATTAGATGGAGAAGAGGACTATGACGTTACAATTCAGCAGATTGAAATGTCGAAATCAGTACAACTGCCAACAGGGGAAAAAGAGGATGGTCCTAGTGGAGCAGAAAAGGTACAGCTTATAGCATATGGCCTCCTCCTGTTAGTGTAGTTTCAGGCTCCAGTTCCTAACTGTGAGGTTGTTGAAGATTTTGTGAGGAATTTCCTTGTGTCAATGGGCCTTCAGCAAACAGCACATTCCTTTCAAACTGAATGGTTTGTAGCTGTATTGCTATTATCATTCCTTCATTTCCTTTCTTGTTTTTACAGGTATGAGTTATCTGTTACCGGTCAGCTTGGCGATCAACATAAATACACTGTTCCTGACGTCTATGCTCAGTAAACTAAATTAGTTTTTATAGTCATCATTTCTCATTAATTTTCTTTTATTTATTAAAATAGAAATCGTATTCTTTATCAAAAATTAGAAGCTCTCCAAGCACAATTAAAGGGATTTGAGAAAGCAGCAAAGTATGTTTAAGCATGTAATACTATGGCTAAATGAAATCTATAATGTGCTATTACTATTATAGGGATGCTAAAGAAAAGTATGTGAGACTCAGAAAAGAGCGAGATTATCATCGCATGCACCACCGCAAGGTTCTTCAGGAAAAGGAAAAGTTGATGTCAGATATTAAAAGGTTTTTGCTATGAGTTGATGTCTCGAAATTATTTATGCATCATGATAGAGTCAAGGATCATTTCTCTGTGTACGAGCCAGTCTTAAAAGACCTTCACAACAAATACGAAGTTAGTTCTTAGACTACATCCAATTATAAATTTTTGAATCTTTAATTTGGCAGATGGCTACAAGAGAAAAACTTTTGACAAGCTTGGAAAGAGACAAAGCCATTGCTGAAGTGAGTAGCTTTAAAATGCCTTACATACATGTACATGATGTGCTGTATATATAGGTTGAATGCTTGCAAGCCACGCTTCAGTCTCTAAGACCTTTATCACATTCATCAGCAAAAACACCAACAGGCAAGCAACCACTGCCACCAATCAGTAGCAAGCAAAGCTCTCCAGAAGCTAAAACTTTCAAGGTTTGTTTACATAATCACACTGCATGATTAAAGTTCTGCAGTCACTTCCAGTAGAACCTGCAAATCCTTATCGTCATGCAACAACGCTGCCTTCAAGCACTCATCTGACACGCACAGGAGGTTTTCAACTCATTGGAACAATTGATGCACATGACTATTCAATATCAGCGTAAGAGTATACATGTACATGCACTGCATGGTTCTAATGACTTTTTGGTTTAGTGTTGCACTTCATCCAACCAAGAGTATACTGGCAACTGGAAGTGATGATCACACATGGAGGATATGGGCCATACCTAATGGCGAACACATCATGACTGGAGAGGGTCATGATGATTGGATCTCTTCTGTACAATTTCATCCAAAGTGACTTATAATTATATATATATATATCCTTTATGCATATATAATGTATTCATTCTGTCTCTAGGGGTGACTTGCTAGCTAGTACAAGTGGAGATGGTACAATCAAATTGTGGAATCTCTCGCAATCAATGTCCACCTTAACACTGTCTGATCATAGGCAGCCCGGTACAAATAATACCATTATTGTATGATTTTACTAAATAATAACAGTGTGGGGTTGTAGCTGGCATTGGTCTGGTAAGATACTCTCTTCAGGAGGAATGGATCATTGCTGCAGAATATGGGACATTGAGAGGTACATGCATGTACACTGGTACACCATAATGATGCTAATCTTCTTTGTTATATTACATTAGCTCTCAGTGCATCCTTACTCTAAGAGGTCACAATGACTCTGTCAATGCTGTGCACTTCTTGCCTTATTCTAACACTGTTGCTACATGCTCTGCTGATAAGACTGTCTCATTATGGGACATTAGGACTGTGAGTTGGTTGCTGTCCTACCAGTCCATTATACTCGACATTTTTATATTGACAGGGTTTGTGTAATCAGACATTTTATGATCATCACAATTCCTGTAATGCCATACTAGCAAACCATCAAGTGAGCTATAATATTATTTTAAAACATTCATTCCTTTTCATAGGCTACTGTCCTGTACTCCACTGACTGCTTTGGCATTACTTTCAAGTGGGATCTGAGAAAGAACACACAGACTGCACTGTGGGATCTGGGACCATTCCCTATCAATGGCATGGCTATTGATCCAGCAGGTACACACAACACACTCGATGATAATCACTACTCTTGTATATAGGGACGGTATTAGCTTGTGGGTCAGGATCAGGGAAGATAAGTCTAGTTGAGCAGATCAAGGGACAGATCTCACACTTAGAAGTGCCTGGGAGCACTGAAGCTTTATGCTATGGACACAAAGCAGACACACTCTACTCAGTCGGTAGTACTGGAAACATTGCAGTGTGGCAATAACACACATTATGACTCTGCTGATGATGATGATGTGATGAATAGTATTGATGTTATACTGTTATTGGATGAGAGAGTTATTATAGTCTGTTCTTTGCTTTTTGCTTGTACTCTCAATATCATCCTCGGCCTTTCTTTTGACAAGCCTTGCTTCATCTGCACAAAATATAAAGAAAGACACTACTAACCAGGGACGTGCTAGATGCATCATTCCTGTACCTATATTATCATCACTTATAACTTCAAATTCCTTTTCATCACTAAGAGCTTCGTCACTAGCATAAGAATAGAATTAGTGGCAAATTGTAATCGTTCATTTTAGGCTCAATTCTGTGGGACTTACCTATGAAATAAGTTCAATATGAGTTGATAATTTTGAAGGAAGTCATCAACTTTTAGTCTTGATGCACCGCTAATATTGAACTCACCCAAAAATTTTGGGAGGTTATCTATTAAAATAATAATAAATAGTATAGCATTGCAATTATCATTGGAGACTTTTACCATCAGTTTCACCTTCTTCACTGGATATTAAAATCGTTCCTAAGTTAATGGGCATGAAAAATGATGTAAACTAAAATATTAATCAAAAATAAATAATACCTTTTCCATCGTCGATTTCAACATCAGGGGCAATCATACCAAAATGACCAATTATAATCTACAGATAATCATACATGTACATGTACTTATCGACAATACTGAGTTACTTTGTCTCTAAGAGTAGCTATTGTAGTTGAGTTGGTGTTTAGTTTGACTGATGCTTCAGGGCATGGTGAACACACATAACACTTTGGGTTTGGTTTCAAAAGTGGGCAAGTGACGAGGAGTCTTTTTCGAGGATTTGGGTTTTTGGGAAGATAGGTCTAATTAGCAATAATAATAAAAACAATAATAATGTTAACCTAACAACATTAATTTACCGTTTTACATTTATTAAATTGTCCATCTAGTATCTTCAGTGCTTCCATTACAATGAGACCAGCTATTACAGCATTCGTTGTAGCAATAGCAGGAATTATATTGCCAGCCATAGCTAAGAAAATAATAAAAAATATCTGCATTATTACATAGTTTCCCACGGGATTTTGGCATAGTGCTCAGTTTCTTGTCAGTGGATTTTCAAAAATTTGACAAATCATCCCATGTTGATAAAATTCCATCAAACATGAAAAGGATAGAATTCTTATTACGTTTTCAATGCATTATACATGTAAATATATTGTGTTAAAAGTTTGAGCTAATCTGATCAAAATTAGATTTTTTACAAATTATTTGTAAAGTTGCTCAAAAATCGAGCCAAAGTCCCTGTACTATAGGTACATGGTCTCAATTTTATGAAATATGAGCAAAAACTTACACTTGATGTCAAATTTACTCTTTAGCTGGATACCAAATGTGTGGCACCGAAGATTTGCTGTTGCTACCACAAAATCCAAATCATTGTGATCATCTTTGTCCCAAATAAGCTCTCCTTCTTTGAGCTGTCTCTCTCTCAAAACTGGCAAACTATTAAAATAATAAAATAGAAAACTAAATGGATGCAAAACAAGTAAGCTCCCCGTATTTGGTGGTCGAATGTGCTCACCAAAAATGCAATTAGTATCGGATAATTTGCTACTTTTAAAAATCAGTCATACATGTAAGTAGCCCAATGTAGCTTGTATTTGGTAAATACCTTTTCATAAATACTTTCACACACTCAGCAACACTCCATATCCTTTGATCAGGGAGTAGCATGTCTCGATCATTCTCATCTACACATACATACATACATACATGTACATACATTACTCAATCATCATGCACTGACCACTGCTAGATAGCAAACTCTCAGCTTTTAGTGGCATCGGTGGTTGCCTTGTCTGCCAGAGTTTCTCCATAGACAGCAGATACTCAATATCGGACACAAATAACTAGAAAAGAACATTAAAAATGACAAAGAGCGTAAAGAAAAAGAACAAGCCAACTTTCTCAAAGACTTGCTCTGGATTGTATTCCTTGGATTCAACCCATTGTCTGGTTGACACTCTCTGAACTACCTCATTCTCTGCTTCCATCACTTCACCTGTACAAATGCATCTTACACGATACAATGTAACAATAAAGGACATACTGTACCATTTTCCAAAGCAGTATCAGGCGATACATCATTATCGGCATCAGGCTCACCAAACAGTTGACTGTATAAATGTTTGGCCCATACAATGCAATGAATAGGTTCTGATGGAGTATTGCGAATAGTGCAGCCAGGGAAGGTCTTTGGAGCAGGTTTGGGTTGACATTCGTAGCATTCGCTAGCTCCCTATTGCAATTAAAATTGAAAATAAAATTGTAAAAGACAACAAAAGGAGGAGACAATGTTAATTGTACTAAATACCTTTCTAATCACTGTTACTTGCCCTAAATAGCCAGCACTCCCACTCTCGACTAGTGTAATACCAGCCGCCAAACAAAGACGATTGACATGATTACGCGCCTCTACAAAAAATTAAAAAAAAACAACAGAGAAAAAATTAATAATGATATTTAATAATGATAGATTTACTTTTATTATCTAGAGCATTCATTACTAATGCAAACTGCTTGTAAAAGGAGATATTGTATTCAGGGCTATAGATAATGCAGTGAGAGGTGAGAGTATCAGTGACATTGGAACTAATGATGTACTTTAGGATTGAGTCGTGGATGGCAGTGATGGTTGCTGTTGGGTTGAAAGCAAGAGCACTCTCACGAGCTACCTAATTGAATAATAATGGGATGAATGATAATAATTTAATTTTAAGATCAAACTTTTAAAATATGTAATTAAACTGCAATATATAGTTTTATTAAAATACCTCAACCTTTGGCCTCCCAACGTGGTCCTTTTGAAAAAGGAACTGCCTGTTTAAGTTACTCACATCAATCGTGTCTAAATCAACCTCAAAGTAAAAGTGAACACATCAGATTGTAAATTCAAAGATTATGCCTTCCATTCTTACTATGACTAAATTCTTGAATCCGGTCAATACTAAATTCTTAATCAGTTCACAGCCTATACCGCCAGCTCCTACAACCAGGACTTTACTTGTAGACACTGTGTTCCTTAAACTTTCATTCAGACAATCCGCCATTATTGATGTAATTAACAATGGGCGTGGCTAACACTATTATTACTTACTTAGCCACGCCCACATTAAATTTAATTGTAAAAATAAGAAGAGAGAATAGAATAAATAACATTAAAATTAACAAAACATAAAAACATGAGAGTGATCATGTGATGCCTAAATTAAATTCATTTAAACTGCCTAGTCCATCACTGGCTTCGCCCCAGAATTGGTCGAGGAACGGATAATCATTATATGGATCTGAGTCTAGCATGAACGGGTCAGAATCAAGGAACGATGAAGCACTGGTGCCACTACCGACAGCACTGAGCTCTATTAGAAATAAAAGAAATAAAATTAAAAAGAGCTATAAGTACTAGAACATCGTCATACTCACCGGCAGCTATTTGCTCTGCCTCTCTCTTCTGCCTTTCCTCTTCCTCCTTTCTTTCCTTCTCTCCTTCTAGCCACAACCTCCTTAGGACTATACTGGCACTGTCATCATTATTCTGCCTCTGTGTATGTGCATATATGTGTGTGTGTGTGTGTGCGGAATTAATATCAAAGCATTCATTCATACAGCAAACCTGTTCTTCTCTCAACAATATTTGCTGGAACTGGTTCATTAGTCCTTGACTGCGTGATAACAGCACACCAGCGATGCCCTCATACACAGCATCAGCTAAAGGATAATATAAAGACAATTTAGACGTTTTCCAAAGCATCACTGACTCGGTTACCTTTTTCCATTGCACCCGAGGGAAGCTCGGGCTCCCGGTAAACATGATACGGCAGTAGACGGAGTATGAGATCTTGCCAAGTGGAAAACGGTCGCTCTAACTCGGGAGAAGAAATCTGCTGATGAAGCTTGTCCAAGTGAGCCTGGAATCTAAAGGCAATCCTAGCTTCCTCTGACGATTGTAGAACCTGATCGTAATGATAAAGATAAACATGATCTAAAGAGGCAGGGAACATACTTTCTGAAGAGCACTGATTCTTTCCTTCTCAATATTTTCTTGTGCAGTTTTATTTGGGAAATTGCGACTATTGGAATTCTACAAAGAAAAGGTCAATTCCATCATGTATATACATTATTGTACTGACCTGTGGCAGTGATGGCTTGGCTACTGTTAGTGGAGATTTATTAGTCTGACTGCTGTTAGCTATTGTTGTAGGAGGCATTTTCATACCAACACTCGCCATATACTGAGATAAAGGACTACAAAAACTTATCAGTGATACTTTTAAAAACAGTATACATTAATCTACCTCGAATTATTGGTTTTCTGTTGCTGTAGTGCACTGGTAGAAGATTGAGGCTGCTTGAGTTGCTGTGGTGTTGATGTTGCCTTCACACCAGAAGAATATGCAGGGCTAGTTTGAAATGGTGGTTGAGGACTAGCCTAAAAGTTAAAAGTTGATAATTTTATGATCATTTATGTATGTTTTATCTTACTGTCGTGATTTTCCCTTTAGCAAGACCATCTTGAGCTTGCTGGATTAAATTTGGAAGATCAAAACTGCTCCCACTCCATTTATTAGCTCTCATGTACTGAACTACAGTGAGAAGCATCGGTGGCATTGGAATACGGACCAGATCTGCTTCAGGTAATCTACAAAGTGTTCTAAGAGTCTCCAGTGTAACTCCTGGCAAAGGGCCAGTAGGAGCTGATCCAATAGAGCTAGTGATGGTACCAGTGCTTGATGTAGCCACTGATAATGTTGACTGTCCTCCTGAGCTTGTCTGCTTGCTCACTGTTGCTGCCAGCCCAACTGAAGTTTGTCCTCCTATTCCTCCTCCACCTAATGCTGCCAGTCCTAATGGTGGAGTATGACTGATTGGAGTTGATCCTATACTGATCGACGAGAGAGCACTAATATTAGGAGTGGCAACAGGATTAATGATTGATTGGGTGTTAGTGGTAGCAGTGACAAGTGAAGGAGAAATGGTCGTAGTAGCAACAGGCATTCCATTGACAGTAGCTGTCACAGTAGCAGCAGTAGATGATGCTGCTGAAGCAACTTGCTGCTGTAAATTAGCAATCATATCAGGAGGAAGGGCCTAGAATGTGAAATATTATTATATATTGCTTGTTACAAAAAAGCATGTACTTTAGCTAGTATGTTATTCTTAATGAGCAAGTCCTTGAGTTCATTCGTTGTAGTGGGACGCTGATCAGGCGGAAGTGAGTTCAAAAATTCTTGAATACGTTGAATCCTATAACTGTACACGGCACGAAGCACGTTAGCTTGAGTTTGTGCAGTCACCTAAAGAAAAATGAAATCAAGCAAAAGAAGAGGGACTAACCTGCAAACCAGTAAGAGATGGCAAGTTGTTGCTGGAAGATGTAGAATTGGACAAAGAATGAGTGACAATTGAGGGACTATTAATGGTTGATGTGGTAGAAAGAGGCATAGGAAATGGTGTAGAAGTCTTCACTGTAGACTCAACAGAGCCAGCTTGCAGTTTTGACTGAGCCTGACTAACAGATAGCTTCAATGGTGCTTGAGTAACTACATGATTCACTTGATTAGGGACAGAAAGACCAAGCGTACCAGTAGGAAGCGTCAAATCGTTAGTCAAAGATCTTGGAATAGAAGCAATTGTTGATAAAGAAGGAGGGAAAAGACTAGCAGTGGCAGTACTTAGACTCAGTGAATGGTGCGGTAATGGTTGACTCACAACAGTTGCAGTGGGTACATGTATATGAAGTGGATTCAAGCCTGTAGCAGCACTTGATTGGCTTGGTAATGGTAGTGTAGTGATACTGGAACTGCTACTTGGC